CTAAGTCCTTCTACCATTAAGCTGCCAGCTACTATGCTGGCGAAACCTACCCACACCAAAGGATAGGAAAAACCCGATCCCCATTTGTAAGATGGGATGCAGCAACACCAAGGGAAAAGAGAGAGTTATGTCTATAAAAGTTTCTAAACTGCCGGCACAGAGAAGGCAAGTGGAAGCACTTCAGACTTGCAGACACAGAGCAGCTGGGTTTGTTCTTCTTGAACCTCTCCAAGAGCACTTTGTGGTACCGACCTCGCAGATTATGATGACTCTACAGCTAGCTAGCATAAACACTATGCTTCAAGCTGCCACTAAAATCCATTTGCATTTCTAAAGCATCGTTCTCCCAGTAGGAATCCTACAAACTGAAATATATATAAAAGAAACCTTCTTCCTCCCCACACCAAAAACAGTCAACAAGAGAAGGATGTAGCAACCACTTAAACCCCAGAGACCAAGATATTGTGGGAAAAATTGGAATGCATTGCAACACCCATCTGGGACAGCAAATCCCAAATCTCAGAATTTTGCAGCCTTTCAGGATCATCATTCAGGCACGATGTGAAACTAGGACCCTTCCAGTCCCCAGTACATTTTCTCCATAATGCAACCACGGTGCCAGAAGAATGGCTGATCCCTTACAGCAAAAGCCTTACCTGCTCTATATTGAAGGCCTACGGGAGAAGGCAATGAACACAGGAAGTCCGGTGTTTCCTGTCAGTGCACAATGAGGAAAAACACAAAGAATTAAATCCTCAAAGTTAAAGCACATCTTATGCCTTGAAACAGACAGTTCACTCTTCCTTCTGAGCGTGCCAGTTATTCTAATTGAGCAGATTAGTATGCTGTACTTTTAAAAAACGCGGTTATGACCATCCTCAGCAATACCCCAAGGCAAGGAGGTCTGTGTTTCACTGTTACCATCCCATACCAGTCAGGACTGACCCGCTCACAAAAAGGCTTTTCTTTGCAGCTCCCCTCCCTCCCAAGCTCCACTACCCGCATTTTCCCAGCAGTTCTGTGAGAACCTCACAGCTTGCATCACCTGAAGGAGTTCATGCTACAGCCTTGTTCCCTCTCATACCACTTGCCACAAAGTAGGGAACGTGGCACAGCTCTATTGCCTCACCTCTAATTTAAATGCTATTCCCCAGCCACTACTCTAACCCCTTCCCACAGTCATCCTCTTGTCTGCAAACATTGACTACAACCACTAACCCTCACCAGATGCATTCCTTTAACCACAGATGAAAACAGGTTCTGACCTAAGATCATATTTTTTATTTCCTTTTATTCTTGACTGTTTGCCACTATAAACTGCAACTCCACCACCACTCAGAAAACCCCAGAACATAACATGCTATTCTCCAGAAAGGGAATGATTTTATTTTATTTTTTTTTAAGCAGACAGCTCTAAAACTCAGACCAAGACCAGCTGCCTTACAGTTATTTTTGGCTTTAGAAATGTATTGTTCCTGGGACTGGAGATGCACAGAATTTATTAATTTCAGAAAGTATCGACATCATTACTCAAAGGTAACTGAAGCCCTTCTGCTAGAAAACTCACCTGGTGGGGACTATCCAAGTTCTTCAGGCCTGCATGCTAGATACACCTGAGCCCTTGAAAGGGAGCATTTGGTGCTGCTTGAAGTAAACAATCCTTGACATAGAAAAAGATCTACTCCATCTGGCCCCAAAATAATCAGTTGGCCACGAAGCTCCTTGCAAGGATTACACTTCCTACTTACCTGCCACCCCAATGTGCCTCAGAAAGACACCCATTTCCTTGAGGGAGCCACTAACTTCCCAGCATCTGGAGCACACGGTTTTGCCTTCTTCCAGCGTAGCTAAGCTCACGTGCCACCAGGATAGCCCAAGAGCTTGAATAGAGCTGTTTGTCTTTGGCAGCTGCCAGTTCCCCATCCGTGCTCACAGCCTGCCCTCCTTGTCCTGAAAGTCACAAAATACGCATAGGATTAATTTAAACTGTCCGTGCTAAGTCTATATAAAGAACTTGTTCTTGTCCACAAAGAACTCTCTAAGTCAACATAAGCGTTCACGTAGGATTAAACTAGCACAATAGACTAGCTGAAAAATTACACCCCCTCATACAGTTTACTTAATCAGACAAACCCTAAATATTCTGAAGAGACACACAGAGACCAAAAGCAGTGTCTCTAGTAGCTTTTTGTACAGCTATTTATTCCACAGCTAACAGTGGCAGTTTTTTTCCTACTTCCTCAGAGTAACTCAACTTGGCTACTGATGACAGACTGCAGTAAAGAGCTGATGGGTGAAATTAGCCTGGCAACACTTATTTGCAATGGAAAAGTCTCTTTCCCTTTGCGTTTAACTGAGCTTGGACAGTACACGCCGGGGCTCTGACAACTGCAGTTGTTTTAGAAGACCACTGTGCCACTGAAGTTATACAAGAGGACCGAGGATGTCCGCAAACTCATTTGCTTCTGCAGTAGCTGCTCTCCGCAGCCATCTGGAATGACACAGGCAACACAAAACATGAGCCTGAGCATCAACTGCTCTGGTTCACACCAGTGTCTTCACTTAAACCACTGATGAAGGGAGAGGACTGACCAGTAGAGGCTAGAGATCTGCTTTTTTTTAAATGAGCCAGGAAGCATGGCAAGATGGTTATAACAAACATCCAGAGGGCAGTGGTGTCTTAAATCAATGCAGCTTAGCAAAGCTTCACAGCTCTCATCCAAATCTGAAGGCTGGCATTTTCATTCGTTCCAAGACAGGTATTTTTGAACAATATTTGCAGCATCAGAGCAGTTTTGGTGAAAAGACTGGGGCAGAGAACGGGACAGACTACTGAATGTGGTAAGTGATTTCCTCACAGGCACAGGTAAGGCTAAGTAAGGGAGATTTCTTTGGCTCCATTTTCACTAAGGTCTCCTGGGCCTTTGTACCTAGAAACAGGGTTCAAGGAGAGGAAATTCCAGCGGAGAAGGGTCAAGTCAGAAATCGAGAAATCTCAACCCGTACAAGGCCACAGAATGCATAAAAGGATGCTGGGAGAGCTGGCCATCATCCCCACAAGGCCAGTCTCTAAAAGGTCACGAAGATCAGGGAGGTCCCCGATGACTGGAGAAGAGCAAAATGTATGCCTAACTACAAAAAGGGCAAAAATCCAAATGCCCCTGAGAAAGTCATGGAGCAAGTCCTCTGGGAAGCCATTTCTGGGTACATGAAGATGATGACTGGTAATAGGCAGCATAGATCTTCCAAGGGTAAATCTTGCTTGACCAACCTGATTGTCTTCTGCAATGAAGTGATTAAATCTATGGACAAGGGGGAGTGCAATGAATGTCCTTGCCCTCAGTAAGATTTTTGATATAGCATTCTTATATCCAAGCTGAGATCTTACAGTCTAGGTGGGTAGACTACCAGATGACTGGAAAAGCCAGCTAAATTGTCAGGCATAAGGTGTAGTGACTAATGGCTCCTGTTCTAACTGGAGCCTGGTTAGAAGTGGAGATCCTCATGGTCCATACCGGAACCTCTGCTGAAAACGAGCCAGCAGTGCACCCTGACAGTAATGAAAGCTAATAGCACCATCAGTCATATTAACAAGGACATACCCAATAGAGATCAAGATCAGTTATTTCCTTTCACTAGGCAGCTGTTAGACTGCATCTAGAATACTGTATCTGCTTTTGGACACCCCTGTCCTCCCCAGGTACATGAAAAATGTTGGTAAAATTGAGCAAGTCGGTCCAGAGAGAGTCATGCGAGGAGAAGCTGAGGGAAATGCACTTGTTTAGCCTGGGGAAGAGAAGGCTCAGGTACTGGAAGGCTACTGTTAGGTCTCCCCTAAGAAGGGGTAACAAAGGTGAAGCCAGGCTCTTTTTGAGATGCTCAGCAAAAGGATAAGATGGGCAAACTGAAATAGGCTCTGACTGGATATAAGGAAAAATGTTTTCCCCATGAAGACAATCAAGCAATAGAACAGGGACCTTCTGATTTTGGAGGTTTTTGAAGAGCTGACCAGACAGAGCCCAGAGCAACTCCTTTTGAATTCAGTGTTGATGCTGCTTTGAACAGGAGGCTGAACCAGATGATCACCCAGGGTCCCTTCCAATGAGCTGAAAGAGCTACAAGAGCATTTTAACATCTTTGATCTCTCGATGAAAAGCCATTTCCCTCCAGAAGAACATTGTAGTTACTGTACTGCACCACAGACCAGCTTGTGAGTTTTTGCACATCCCTGGAGACACAGATTTCTCACATATGCTCAATTCTAATAGAGCAGAACACACTGCTCTCATGACAAGGGAAAAAAAACATACATGCTATTAATTATAGTTACAATTACTAATTTGTAAAATTTCCTCTGTTGATGAGGCTTCTGTCTGCCAATACTTACCAAGATAGAAAAGTCTCAAATCATCACTGAACCAATTGAAGAACATTCATCTCAGTTTCCAAGCACCTCCCTTGCTCAGCATGTCTCTCTTCTTCAGTACTGCAAGTCCCCTCAAGGGTTGCGGCTGCTGCATTTAATCAAAACAGCCTCCCCATATTTCCAATCTCTTTTGCATGCTTATGTTTCTTCATGCAGCACACCTTGCAGAAAGGGCGTCAGCCAAGACCTTCCACTTTTTGCAGCTGGCTTGTTTTTGACACGGCCAAGGCATATTGCTATTTCTGCTGTAGCTTTATGAATTAAGTTTCAATAATACAAAGACCACAAGATGTAACTCATTACGATTTTGTGAAGAAAAGCTATTATTTTAGCATAGGGCGCATTTACCAGGATAGGAAGGCCAATATAAGCTTCTGAATTAAATAGCCAACATACTTCTACAGCAGGTGGATGGATGTTAAAGCCAATTTTGTGAACCAAATTTAGGAAAAAAGCTGCAGTTATTGAGCCTAATCCATCCATCTTCCTTGGCTATAATTATTCTAAATAGGAGGCTACTTCCTTTAGCTATTCAAGTGTTTAGCTTTTTAACTTAAATACTCCTCAGATGCTGTGGATGTGCAACTGAGGTCAGACTGCGGAGCTACCACGTTTACCCCTCACACACTGTATGACCATCCCTCAAAATACTTCTCACTTCTCCTTCTGCCAGCTTCTTTCAAGTTCCAGTGGTCCTTTAAATCCAGCAGCTGGTAAGAAAGGAAGAGTGTGGGAGGGGAAACGAATGCTGCTGCAACAAAGTTCACATGGGCTTTACCAGACACTGAAGATCACCTTTTAACTAGTGCTGCTCACATACGGGCCAACAAGAAAAGTGACTGTGATTACAACCAAGATTTTCTTTCGGAGGGCAGAGAGGACAGTATTTCTGAAGGGTCATTGAATGCCCACCTATGAAAGGTATCAGAGCAGATAAGCGTCTGCCATGTAACGCTGTGCTATCAGAACTAGAGACAAGTTTCTCTGGCAGTTGATCCTGGGGGCACCCAACACAGAGCACGCTACATGCACTGTTGAGCCACTTCTGATTCAGGAACCTCATACACAAAATACGCTTTTCTTATTTACATTCACTTCTCAATTTTTATTCTATTTCTTGCATGGTCTTCAAATACAGTTTTACAGGTCATTTTTTTCTGCTACAGATACTGTTGATCTAAAAACAGATTAATGAAAGTGGCATTCCGACCTTAATGAAAATTCATAACCATGAAAGATATGTCAACATATCACTTTACAATCCTAGAATGATGGTATTGGCCTGACATTCCATAGGTTTATACAATTAATTTCTATAGTAACAAAGTCATAGGAAGAGAAAATGTGGCAACTCCTTAAAAGCCAAGAAATAAGGCCACAAGCATCCTATGCTGTAATGCTATGAATCCAGATAAAACAAGTTGACTCTGGTATCCATGAAGAAACAAAAAGCTTTCCCACCTGATAAACCAAGGTATCAGCTACTCAACATGCACTCAAAGCTGTATAAAAACTAGTGGCATTCAGCTCTGACTTACATGAAATTCAATAGCACAACCCCGTACCTCTCTCTAAAAAT